ACCCCTCACCAGACAAAGAGCCATTCAGCCCTCTCTGCTGGTCCTCCCATGTCACCTCTATAGGAAAGTAGACACATACTGAGGGGTTTAGCATTAGAGAATGCAACAACCTGAGATTTTCCAGGGGGGGGGGAAATCTTAATTTAGAAACAAATCAATTTAAAATCAATTTGTTAACTTTGGTTAAATTTATCTTACATGCCAGAAAGAAAAACAAGATAAAATGTAGTAGGAAAGACAAAAGGGTCACACCAGTTTAAGGGGCTGAAAACAGTGACAGCTCCTCTTAAATATTGTGAGCTTTCTGCCATCTGCTGGCCAACATAGGTAACTCTTCTCTTATTATTCTGATACAATATAACAAAATAATATCAGAATATTCTTTGTGTGTTTTGTATGATTAACTTCTTATAAAATAAAAAATGTTTAAACCTTTCCCTAATTTTCAAGAAAAACATCCAGTCTTATCAGAAGCTTTACAAATGACTTGTTTTTGATAATCCATGTCAAATTAAAGTGATCATTCTTTCCCAGTAGAAGTAATTGGATCTATCCTTGTGAGGTAAAATAAATTAGCATTAACAAAAAGCTTTGAGGGTTTACTGAAAGCAGAGGAGGGCAGACTAGCAGGAATCACACGGACAGATAACCAGATTTATTAACATCAGATACCCACATAGGGCTCTCTAATCTGATCGGGCCACATAAAACAAATACAAATCAAGTAGCTCAACCCAGGAAGTACAAACGACAAACATAAAGTTAAGAAATAGAAATAAGTTATGAAATAACAGTAACTAAACATTATGAATAGAGGTGTAACGAGCTCTCACAACATTAACGTATGATTTTTCTGGTGGAAAATATGTCAACAATTGCAGTCAACATAATAATCATATTTATTATGGTAAATTATAATTTTCTGGAAATATAAAGTTCTGCTGTAACCCTGAATAACAAAAATGCTAGACATGTATTTAAATGTAACTTATCAATGAGTTGTCTTGTAAATAGGGTTGCCAACTCCCTGAAAAAAAAAAAGGGGGACACCTCATGTGCGTGCCAGCTGACTCGATTCCCTTTGCCCCTCCTGATGTAGTGATTTTTTATAGCCCCCTTTGTGTGTGAATTTTTTTTTAAACTATTTTACTCAAATCTGCATTGAATTAGATGCATATTTTTGAGTGACATGAACACACGGAACATAAATTATTATCCAGCAATTCACTTTAATACAAAATAACAAACTTTGCTGA